AATAAATTTTACAATAAATTTTTTTAATTTTAATAAATAGGGAGAAGAACCCACTCATAATCGGATAGTGCCGCTCCTAACGCTCGGCGGCGCTGGCCCTAGCGGCTGCGGCGCGCGCGGTAAGGAGAAGAAAGGAGGCGTATATCACGGAAATCGGCTGAAATGTTCAGACTAATTCCGAGCACTGCCATAAATAATGCAAAAGGTTTTTATGCATAATCATTTACTATTAAATTATTTAAAAAATTAATATAATTAAATATAATATATTTAATTTTATATATAATATAATATATTATATTTAATTTATATATATAATAAATTTATATATAATAAATTATATATAATTTATATATAATATAATATAATATATTTAATTTAAATATAATATAATTAATATAATAAAAATTAATATAATTAATATAATTTAGATAATAAAATTAAAATCAAAACATTAACATTAGCGAGGCTGGGCAAAATACAGCATTAAGTATTTGAAATACAGATACAAAATACTATGAATCTTCTATCAAATACAAAATATAAAATACTATCAATCTTCTATCAAAATACTAAAATTGACAGTATTTTGTATTTTGTATTTCAAATACTTTTTGTCCAGCCCTGAACACTAGTTTGATATAGTCATTACATGTTAATTGTATTATACTCATTTATAATTATAAATATTTCAGTTTTAAGACTGATAATTTTTTTATAATTATGCAAATATTTTGTTCTTATTTCCATTAATATTTAATTAAAAATTTTAAAAAATTTGAAAAATCTGATTTAAGGAGACATCATTTAAGGAAACAATAAGACAGGAAAAATTAAAAAAGAAAAACAAATTCTACATTTTTTAACATTGCTTACATCCCAATCTAGATAGTACAAAATGTTCTAAGAATATCCTAGATATCAAGATATCCTGAGATATTGGGTGGACTTCCGAAAAGCTATCACCTCTGATTTGGCTGATATTTAATCTAAATGCTTATTTTATCTAGTAAATAATATTCCCAAATGAATTTTTGGCGCAAATGCCCTCTCCGTCCCCAGCCCCCCTAAAAAAAAACTTGTAAAAGCCCCCGTAGGAGGGGCGGCACCCACTGCATCCACGCATACACTTTCCACGCGAAACAAGGTTCCACATGAGTTTACGAATTTCTACGCAAAGCGAAATTAAATCCAGATCCTATGTGTATAGTTTTCTGATGGTGGAGCCCCCGCAGGGTGAGACACACTGCCTCCAGATTTTTTATAATAACGACTAAAATATTAGAATTAGGTAAAATATGTATAGGACCTTATTTGTAGAACTTTTTATGAGCTTCATTTTTTGTTTGACAACTTTTTCCGTGCAATGAACACTTTCTGAAATAATTAACAAAAACAGTTTTATTTTTGAGGGACAGAGGGAGCATTTGCGCCAAAAATCCATTTGGGAATATTATTTACTAGATAAAATAAGTATTTAGACTGAAAATCAGCCAAATCAAAGGTGATAGTTTTTCAGAAGTTTATCCGAGATATTTCTCAGAGATATATTCAGGATGATCCCAGGATATTTTGTGCTATCTGGAAAGTAGCAAATTATTGTTATTACTGGTCATCATTTTATCACCCTAATTTCTAATTGACATCAAATTAGTTATTATGACGTTACAATAATGATGTTACAATAACAATCTGCAGATATTATCTGACAGATAGAATGACAGATAAAATGCTTGTTACTTGGGATAATTATTAACCAAATATTAATAACTCCAAAGATAAATATAAATACAAGAGTTGCACACTACAGTATAATAAATCATATACATAATATGAAATATATGCACACTATATCTGTGGATTGGTATAAGAAGTGTCAAAGTCATTTTTTTCCATAACCTCAATTGGTGCTAAATAAGCAAAAATTGCATATGTCACTCCGTCATAACCACAAAAATTATTACAAGACACGCCTAAGTCATTACATATATATATGCAAAAAAATACTTATAGTTCCATTCTCCAATTGAAAATATGGAAAAAAAAATGATAGGCACTTCTTGTATTAAGCTACAGATATATATTACATATATGTAAGCAACAAGTATACAAATACAGTAGTACTGTAATATACACTAATATACGAGAGCTAACATATACATATAGATACATTTTAACTAACACATAACGTAAATGTATATAAATTTGTTGAATCATATACGATTGTAATACTTTATCATTAAATTACACTTACCCTGTATTAATCATTTTTCCTGTTTTACAATTTGTTAATGTGTTGTTGATTGATAATGATAACGATTGATAACGTTATTGAACGATATAATGCAGCAATATACGAGTAATAACCATTACAAGAGATAAGAAACTGCAACTAACATTATTTAAGCAAAGTTTACGAATCATGAACTAAAAAAGTATCATGAATGTCTTTATTACTGATATTCTGAATAAAGATCATATCGGAGTGACAGTAGAGACTCTGTCGGAATAGAATGGAAATATAAAATCGTACTTTACATATTTTAATCACAAATAAATAACGTTTTCGACTGAACGGATTATGATCCATTCCAGATCAATTAATTACTATTTTACTATAAATTTAAGTTTTTTATGAGTGAAGATAATATAATGACGTCATTAATCAATCTTGGATCGATCAAAATCTGTTCAATCGAAAACGCTAAGGGCGGTATTCATAGTCCGTTCTTATATTCAAGATCGTCTTAAGCACGAACTTATATTCGCTCTCTTCGTCAGACACAATCTATGTGTGACGAAGAGAGCGAATATAAGTCCGTGCTTAAGACAATCTTAAATATAAGAACGGACTATGAATACCGACCTAAGGCCTGTTCTACAATACGTCGTATGTCGGCGTCGAATGTCGTTTGTCGTTTGTCGTACGTTGAATGTCGGATCTGAATACGACTTGTCATTCTACAATAAAGTCGTAAGTCGGTGCAACAACAAATATAAAAATGGAAAGTAGAGTGATGAGAAATTATTTAAATCTATTATTAATTTTGTTACATATAACAAAAATTAGATTATGTTTAAGAAAAAGACGCAAAATAACAAGAAGGTGGTGGGTAAAATCACATATTTCAAGAAATATGAGACAAACTCATGGTGCTCATCGAACATTATTTACATATTTTCGGACAAATAATCATGA